TACGAGCTCATCGATGCTCAAATATTAAACCATTTGCTGCTGATGCCATAATCAACCAACCTTTCTACATTCTGCAGATGATATTGACAACATGGCAGCAAAAACAGTTCTGTGGAGGATAGTGAAGGGAGCTGAAAAGGTCCTTTACCAAAGGTTTATTTCAGGGCCGCTACAGGAAGATGATACTGAACCACTCTATGCCTTTTCCAACACGGATACACAGCTCTCTACCTTAAGCTGTTAACAGGCTTTGCTGTTGTTAAAATCCTGGCTTCTGTATTACTGCACTCATCAAATCTACTTTATCTAGATCCTTTCTATTTAGGTTTCACCTTTTAGCAATATTTTAACACAATATTGATGTCTATTTAGAATAGAATAGAATAGAATAGAATACAAAAGAATAGAATGCAAATTTATTATCATTACACTGTCACAAGTACAATAAATATAGTTTGCATCTTTCCAGAATTGCTATACAGGATAACATGTACAGATTTATCTATATTATGGAGATGTATACATACATATATATCAAATAATACTTGTATTTTATACTATCTTAAATATATCTATATGTTTGTAATAAATATATATATATATATATATATATATATATATATATATATATATATATATATATATATATATATATATATATATATATATATATATATATATATATATATATATATATATATATATATATATATATATATATATACACACATTTATATATTACCTGGTGTATTTTTATTGACTTACTGTCACAAATAATAGATGTCTGACTAAAGGCATATGATATTAAATAACAATAGAAGAATTTCTGCAGTAATATAAAAGTCATTAAATTTCATTGGCATTATCCACCCCCACCCCCCACCCCCCTAATTGTTATGTATGATGAAGGTTAATATTAATATGATTTCCTGCTGGATTTAATGAGGCAAAACAACTGATCCAGTAAAGGAGCGTCTGCTGAGCTACAGGCTAATCAGTTTGCATCTACGTGTCTTGATAAAAATAAAACCTCAGATTTTTTATTTTACTAAATCCAAATGAAGGATTTTTTTAAAATAGTTTTTAATTTAACAATCCCATTTCTAAATTGACCTCAATTTAATGTGCAACTAAATCCAAGCTGTGTAGAATAAATTTGCCAAGTCCTGCCATGTAAACAATGAAAATATACATGCAATACACAAACGGATCTCAATATAAAACAAGAGAAGCTTAAAGAGTGGATTGGTGAAAAAAAAAAAGACAACTTCATAAACATCCGCTTTGATTAATCACTAAAACTGATTTATCAGCCAGCCTTGATTTGCAGCCACAGTAGGGAATCAGTACATTTTAATGTCTACTCTGCAAGGCTGATCTAATAAACAATGAAATAAATAAAAGGTGTCACAAAGTTATACAAGCTCAAATGCAAACCCTCTTCACAGGAGAAGCAGATTCATTCAATCATAGGAAGCGCTCTGGATTTGCTGCTGTAGCACTGAATCCAGTTAAGTAGTCTTTTCAATCTCTTACATCCGCAGGTCATTGATTTTTTTTTCTGTCTCTTTCAGAAGAAATTGAGTTCAAAGAAGGGGGGGGGGGGGTGCCCATTCTTAAGGCCTCCTTAAGAATTGGCAACACAGAGTGGGGAAAAAAAGCATTTATTGATACTGGTCACACAGGCATAACGTGTCAACTGCTTCGAATAATCCAGACTACAGTTTTTTATCTATATGGGAGAATCACATGGCATCTGCCAGAAGATTCTAATCTGTAACCCCCCCCCCCCCCCCCCCCCCCCCCCCCCCCCTTCTCTCCCTCTCAATCTGGTGTCAGACTCCAGTGGAAACAGTTCTCTGCAGGAGAATAAAAGAGAAAGTAGGACAGATCCAGCTCCAGAGGTCTAGGGTCAGTAGAGGGGTTCAGAACTCATAATGATGTTAGATAGGTCAGTCAGAGAAGGTCTTAATGTGTAAAACCCAGATAGTCCCACATAAACAGACTATTTTTGTTTAACCCTTTAAAGGGGAATCGGTGAAAAACTTTAAATATCTAAATTAAGTAATTTTCTCTTAAAAAAAGTGCATTTTTTCTTGAATGGAGCAGGTATGTGAGACACTTTGCAAATGGAATAAGAACATTTACAAATAAGGGGAAAAGTGCAGTCTCCTATTTCAAGTGCATAATATCAAATAATCAGATTTTAAGGATAAAAATGTTCCTTCCACTGGGAGATTTTCTTATTTACCTACTCAAATTAAGGGTAAATACACGTATTTTAAGACATTTTCACTAGTTTTTAGATTTTTTTGTAGTGTGTTATTGGAATCCAGGACAAGACCTTATTATCTTTGTAACATTTAAAAAATATATGGATATTTTCATGGCAAAAATGTACCGTATGTCAATATAATAACAAGAAACACCAACTTTCCCAGAAATATTAAGAAAAATCTATAAGAAATTCATGAAAAACACTCTGAGAGTGAAAGAAACATATTTTTTTAGGTACAACATAACCTTAGAGGTTTATTAACCCTTTAGCTTTACTTTCTAACTTTTCATTTAGCTTTTTACCTTTTTTTCTTGACTTGTTATTCTTTTTTCCAACTTGATTTACAGTAGGTAATATATCATTCAAGAGCTCATCTAATTGCTCAAATGCATAAATAAGATGTACAGCCATACAGCAGCATCTTGCTGAATGGCTGGATATAGATCTTGTGCTTCTAGACCTCACTGATGGACAGGGGGGCTCCATTTCTAAGGGGTGTGCAAGTGATCAAAAAACGGTCACTTGCCCTATAAAGGGTCAAACATTTAAGCCTTTTCTCACAAACCTTCCTAAATTAAATGACTTTATCATTTTTCATGCTGTGCATGTATTAGATTTATATCAGATGCAGTGTTTTTTATTTCTAGCTGCTGGTTTTATTATCACACATGTAAAATGTGCAGTAGAAGCATATCCAACTAGACTGCTGTTTATTGTGGGAGGCTTATCCCCTCAAATGTGCTTACTGTGGGTCCACTGGGCAGCCTCCCAGAACAGATGTGAGTGTCTGCCATCAATGTCAAATCAATGGAAAAGTTAAATAAATAAGCAACTTATAATATTTTTCAATTTTTTATTGCTCCCCTGTGTTTTTTCTATGGAAACAACTATTATCTATAATGAAATAATAGCAGTGTTTAAGGAAAATAAGGAATAATGCATTAAACTGCAGGATTCACTACACTGTTCAGGAATGATGAGCACCATAACTGCGTTTTTTTTAGCACTTTATTGTCCGTCGCACTCACGTAAAGACGAAGAACATGGAGGTGGAGCCGACCAGGAGGCAGACAGCGGTGCACACCGGGATGAAGGCGCTGGGCTTCAGCGACTCGCCGCCGCTCGCGGGCATCCTGTCCTCGCGGCGCTCATCAGAGTCTCACACCGGCCCAACGGAGCGCAGACGTCGGTCTGTTCAGCCCTCCGTAGCGAGAAGACGGCACGGACAATAAATTCATAGTTTGAGAGGGAAGGGGGGGAAAGAAAGAAATAATCCCTGAAAGACTAAGTGAGCCGCAGCTCCGCAGAGCGCTCCTGCATCCCGTCCGGTGAGTCCAACAGGCAGGAAAGAGAACAGATGCGGCTGAACCAGAGGAGGCGCCTCAACTCCTGCATGACGCGAAGAGAAGAGACCCCCTGCTGTGACCCGATGAACTACATAGATAGATAGATAGATAGATAGATAGATAGATAGATAGATAGATAGATAGATAGATAGATAGATAGATAGATAGATAGATAGATAGATAGATAGATAGATAGATAGATAGATAGATAGATAGATAGATAGATAGATAGATAGATAGATAGATAGATAGATTCATCATTAACTGCAGTATAGGGATTCTAAAACATGCCTTTACTTGACAGGGTTACCCACTTAGAGCTGTAATTATGCCAAAATTATAAAAAATTATTAATATTTTAATTTAAGATTTTAAAAAAGCTTTTTCATCTGTCAATATGCTCTATTCAGAACTCCTCTAGTGGAAAAGTTTTAGTTTCAGCTGGTTTAATTTCATAAAAAACTATTTTTTAAGGAACCTTTGGCTATCTGATTATTGGTCGATTCATCTGTAAAAATAATCGACACATTATTCGATTTGCAAGCCCCAGTTTACAGTAATAATATTTCACAATAGAATAGTCAATTACACTAGATTGCAAATATTCCAATCAAATCTTGTAACCAGGAGCTGGTTGACAGTTGCCTTTTGTATCTATTCTTCTTTTTCTATGTCTGCTTTTGTCTCCTTGAACCCCAGTTGACCTGGGCAGATGGCTGCTAACACTGTTCTGCTGGAGGTTTCTTCTTGATAAAAGGAGGTTTTTCCTCTACACTGTCGCTACATGCATGCTGTAATAAACTGGTTTTCCTTAGATAGATAACTTTGAATCAATTTGACTGTATGATCTGGTTGAATTGTAAAGTTCCTTGAGGTTACATGTTTTGTGAATTGGCGCAATGTGAATAAACTGAACATAATTTAATTATTGTGAAAAATACAGATTTTTATTTGGAAAAGTTGCAGTTAAATCCTGGTCATACCTTACAGTTTAGATGATTGAATAGGAGTTAGATAACATCACCATAGGCGTTGAATATCGCAGCAATCCCTGTACAATTTCTTGTCTAGCAATGGTAAGAAAACCATGAAGATAATGTCTTTCTGTAAAAAAATAAAATAAAAAAATAGGTTAAAAGTTCAAGTAAGTTTGTGGAACCTCATTCAGGTAAATAGTTTTTTTTATTTTTCAGGGTCTGTCAGTGTAAATAGAGGAAGCCACCTGAGAGAGTCTGTCATTAACAAACCCTTCCCCTCTATGAGCAGCATGACAAAAGCTTTTAAAGGAAAGACAGTTGGGTTGGGCTTCTCACTGCTCTTAAGATCATACAAGCAGTGAAAAAAACCTCTACACCACTACCTGACCCAGTTACAGTATGGATGCAGGTGATTTGATAGAATCTATCAGAGTGATCATGTTCACAGCTGGGATCCTGGGAAACAACTGGCTGGCTATAACGTCTCTTCCAAAGAAGAAATCTGAAATCCGTACAAATGAGATCCTGTTGATCAACCTTGCCGTCTCCAACCTCATCACCAACTACCTGGTGGATGCACCTGACACCATAGCTGACTTTGTTGGCCAATGGTTCATGGGGATAACGTTTTGTGGTATTTTTCGCTTTTGTGCAGACCTCTCAGAAACCAGCAGCCTCTTCACAACCTTCTTCATCTGCGCCTACTGGCATCAGAAACTGGTCGGTTCTCTTAAGCGTGGAAATGCACCGGTGCAGCTGGACAACCTGCGCCTGGTTGGGTGTCTGCTGGCTGGGAGCTGGACACTCTCCAGCGTCTTAAGCTTTCCTCATTTCTTCTTCGTCTCGTTGGAGGGAACTAATGAGAGCCATGAAGACTGCATCGATTTCTTCCCTGATGCACTTTCCAGGCAAATATATGAGATCTGTTTTTTAACTCTGGCTAATGTTTTGCCTGTTGCAGGGATCATGGTTGCATGTGTCCAGATTATTGCAACTCTGCTCCAAAGCCAGAAGCGTATTCAGAGCCATTCTTCCAATCCAGCCAAGATGACAGTTAAAGAGAATCCAGAAAGATCAGTAAGCAGTCTTTCTGTTAAAGATCCATGTAAAGAACATAGAAAATCTTCTTTACTTGTTCAATCAGGTAAAGCTGAGCTTGTTTCTACTGGTCTGGATGGAGGGTTCCTGGGTAAGACTCCATACAGTTCTCCTTTAGCCAACAAAATAGCAGAAGTTCAGCCAAACCTCTCAAGGCCCAGCCAGGTACCCTCTAAGAGGAGTCCCAACTCACACTCTCATGCCAGGGCAGCAATGAGCGTAGTGGCTGTGGCCACTGTGGTCCTAATCTGTTGGGCGACTCATCTACTTCTACGCATCACCAACTACATCCAGACGTCGCCACTGATGGTGGAGCTGGCCAGTCACATTGCAGCTTCCTACACTTGCATCATCCCTCATATATTTCTACATGGAGCTAAAAGGCATCGCTGCCCATGTAAATTATAGAAAATGTAAAAACATGCAACATTTATGTCTAAACATATGACAGTAAGGTCCAGTAAATAGATCTGCTGTGATGAGGCTCAGGAGCAGCAGACGTTATGATTCAAATGATCTGTTTTTAAATTATCTAAGACAGTAAGCATTACATCTGTTATTACATAGAGACCAATAAATGAGTGAAAATGTAAAAGATGATACAAAATCAATAGTTTTCGCTAAGTGATTGATGATCACTGCAAAAATTATATACTTCAGGTAGTTTTTTGTCAAAAGTCATCACGGATAAAAATGTTTAGTTTATGAGAAATACAAGTATTTATTTATATTCATACCTATGTTAAATTACCAGGTTTAATGCATTAATATTAGATATAATCTTTTTAAAATGTAAAATGAGCAATACTGCTCTCTCTGTGTAAATATTCTTGCATATATAAATATATTTTATTCTGTAAATTATTTGCTTATATTCCTATTCCTTTTATTGCACTATTTGCCTGCACTGTTTTGTTTTATATTGTTTTGAGCTTCTAAAATTTTAATTGTACCCTTGAGGAACAATGATAAATAAAGACTTAGGCTTAAAATCTTCCATACATTCTGAATAGGCTAACAAAGAAACCTGCAACAGTTAAGTTTGCAGGGTCTACATGCTGAAACATCTATTATTGAGGAACCGTTTGAAGCATTCAGCCTTCCTGTGTTAAAGTCCCTCAGTATCAAACGTATTGACTTGGTTAGATCTGTCCTCTCTACCCTACAGAGATTCCCAATTATATAAGATTGTAAGGCCATATCTTGCTATCAGCCATCTTAAGGTTATCCTGCAGTTTATTTTTTATCAGATTAAAGAAACAACCCCTGCTGAGCTATTCCAAAACCTATTTTGTTTGTTTGAAAAGGTTAAACTATTCAGCCTGATAACTAAGATGAAGCAGTTGACCCACGGGTCTAGTTCAATTTGAATTTAAAGCTCTGTTAACACAAAATTGATATGGCCATGTGATGTCAAAATAAAGGTTTGATGGTTGATCATTAAGTGTTTGAACATGTGGAATATAAAAAATACTGTCTTTATAAAATATAAGAGACCAGATTCTTTCAATACTGAGGTTTAGTTTGTTGTTACTTTATTTGAATCTTGTGCTGTGATTATTTTTGACCTTCTCCTGACTGCTACCTTTGTGCAAAGGGGTCATTTAGATCTTTTACAACTTCAAGAAAATCCAACCATGATGGCTGAATTTTATTTACGGTTAATCAGATTACAGGTGTCCACCCAGGTGTAACAGATTCAGACTGAAATTCGCAACTCTAAATTGATTTAGCCTAAAGTCAGGAACTCTGAGTGTTCGGTTTCACAATGACTGCTATCAATTAGTTCAATCAATTTTAATTAGGTCCACTCAGAGTTAAGCCCGTGCGTAACAAGTATGAAAAGCCATTATCAGTGGAGCATCGATTTGACCATGACAACAGGCAACAGGAAGTGCCAATTCCACCCCAATGTAGCTAGAGATTTTAATGCCGAAATGCAAAAAAAACAAAAAACATAAAATAAAAGAGAGAATGTGTTTAAAGGACAGAAAAAGCACTACTACTACAAAGGAGAGGAAGATGGAAAGGAGAAGATTGTTGCTTGAGTTAATGTTTAAGTTTATATGAAGTAACTATGGCAGGCCGTTCGTACATTTATTTAAAGCACTCCTCTCTGTTTCATTTGTAGATCACTAAAATAAGATTCTTCCTGATCAAAATCCCACTTCCAGACCTAATTGTAATAAAATATTTCCTAAATTACATTTTTGTAGCAGAAACCAAATTTTTTAATTATACTACTAAGAATGAAGTTTTATGTATCTAAAAATGTTTACACATTTTAAGTGGCCGCTCTGACATTTATTAGTTTGACTCAAAATGTATTCATATTTGAAAAAAGTTTTTTTCATAGTTAGAGTAACACAAATGCTGACCAGTAATCTTAATATTAGGAATATAAAGATCGGTAATTAATATGTAGACATTCAGAATGTTTATTCTAGATTTGGAGAATTTTAGTTAGTTTGAAATGGTCATTTAGACAAAGAAAACATTTTTTAGATATCAGGATTAGGGCTACATATCAAAACGGCTTGCCACAGAAGTTGTTACCATGAAAATTTTATGGGATTATTTCTTGAATGGTAGTAGATCAATGTATCTACCGTATTTAGGTGAAATCTTCTGGCAGCAGGTGAGGATGAAGAATAAAAGCGTTCTAAAACATTGCATGTGGATCATCTCCTGCGTCCCTCCTCAAGTTGATTCAGTCTTCTTTTACACAGTAAAGAGGATGTTTGCAATCAAATGGCCGTTATAAACGGCTATCAATCCCATAGAATGCCTTCAGATTGTGCCAGTAGGCTCAGTAGGTTATCAATGAATGAATCCTAACCCTAAAGTAATTCAATTTCCCCCTCGGAGTGAAAACATTTTGGTTTCTGTTCTAAAAAGGATGCAATCTCCACTAAATCATTCCTGTCTTTACAAAACTGTAATACAAACCTAGAAAGTTTTTAAACTATTTGAAATCATGAATTTTTGGAATTATATTCCTTATGTAAATTAAACTTTACAGCAACAAAAGGAGTTCATTTTCCATAAGAATAAAGCTTAACAATAATTATGCTCTAGAGTGCAGCTCAGTGGAGACTGTCAGTAATTAGTGCTTGTTAGTTTTAACTGTAGGAAACTGAACGAGTTCACAAATTAGATAATTGCAATGGATGATGAGCAAAGGAGTAACCTAGTCCTCCTTTCAGCTGATTACTTCAAGCTAAAATAGGGCTGTGCTTTAACCAGTGGCTAAAGGTTTTCCGGCTCATCCACAAAAGTCATGATAAGTTACCTTCCTTTTAAAAAGCTTTTATTGGTCCTACAATTTGTCTCTGAATTTTTAGTGTAGGTGAAAACATGAACAGCACCAAGTCACACAAGCTCTTATACATCAAGCCACCACTCATTTACTATCAGCGCACACAGGTTTGGTAAAGATGACATTAAAGCCCAGTTATGTACATTAATACAAATTCAAATGTTACAATAAAGAGTTGTAACGTTTTTGCTGGGGTTGGTTATATTCAGCAACTGCTGTGGGGAAAATGCCCCAAATGAGGCTCAAATTAAACTAATTTTCCATAAAAGAAGCAGATGTCATGAATTTTATTGTACACATTATTCAATGTCCCACCATTTTCAGATATCAAACAGATATTTGCACACAATGCAAATTACATACTTTTCAAAACAGCAATGTTCCAACTAACAAAACGGTATGAAATAAGTTATAAAACTTGTCTCTTTGCCAATCTCTTCTCCCAACCATTCACAACATCTGCAACCAAAGAAACAGTCCGTTTAAGGCAAGCAGAGGAAGAGCCACAGGTCGGCCAGCTCTTTGTTGATTAAAAAGGTTTGCTCCTGTCAATGGAGCTTCTCCAGCTTGGCCTGCAGGGATTTAAAGTTGCCGATTGTGTGCTGAAGGGCTGAGTTCGGGCTCAGAGACTGCAGTTCCACCAGGTATCCACAGATGTTGTCTAGGCAAACGTTGGTGAATCTGCGCCTGAGAAAAATGACAAAAACAGCATGCCGATGATGCAAGTTGTTGTTTCACTCTGCGAGATATCCCCCAAGCCTATTATTTTTGCTTGTTTCATAAATCTCTACGATAAATAATCCTTTAACCAACAGTGGCACTAGGATAACAGAACCAAAGAAACACAAAGACATGAAGTGGGTGGTTTTATGCAAAAGTTCAACGACAGTTTAAACTGTTGATGTTAGAAAGTGCTTGCTCTATATTTATTCCACAGGCTTAATCTGGATTAATATATTGTAAAACTGCATGTTAAATGGATAACATTTTCCAGCAAATATTAGAAGAGAATTCTGAACTAGCAGCACCAACAATCTGGTTATATTAATCTGGCCTATAGTACAAGGATGGATGGTTAAAGAAGGAATGGATGAAGGGAAGGATTGACTCATTGACAAAAGGGTAGATTCAAAATAATAGATACATTGTTAGAAAGATAAACAGATATTGGGTAAAAGAACAAAAGAACACTTGGATGAAACAAATGAAGGGATGGATAGAAGGACTAAAGGATCAGTGCATATATGAATGGATGGATGATATAGATTAGGATGAGAGTCTATAAAGTCTGGGAATATTGATTTGACCATTTCTATTTTTTTCTCTCAAAATTATCAAGAATTGCTAAATATTCTAACAAAAATTAATAACTTTAACGTGCAGGAATCAATGGAACACTGATTAAACCTTTAAAGAACTAAAACCAGAAATATTCCTTTAGTTAAAAGGGAGAAACATTGAGTCATTTTCTATTTTCAATGGCTCATTACAGGGTTTACGTCTCCACCTGATCTCAGTTCAGTCCATAGTTTGATTAAACAGACTGACCTAAGAAAGATACACCTTAAAAAAAAATTTAACAACTTCCTTGGCAAGATTGTTAAAAGTGGAGATACAGCTAGAAATGTAAATCTTGTGGCAGTGTTGACGCTACACTGCCCTCTACAGGCAGGCAGGCGAACTAACGGTGCTAACCTGTCATATGTTGGCACTCTGCTGGGATCCTCCACATATCCTGAGAGAAGCACATGGATGCACTCCACCAAATGTAGAGGTTTTCTCAACCGTAGCCAGCAGGGATCCTATATAGTCGCAAATCAAATAATATATTAAAGAAAGATTATGACTCATGCTTAGAACAAAATCTCAACAGGTGAATTTAAGGGGAAATACCCGGGATTTGAAGAGCTGATCATAAACCTCCAGAAGACGAGGCAGCTGGACTCCGATCTCCAACATCGTACATGTGACAAATCCCACATCCCAGTTCAGTCTGCAGACTTCCTGCTCCAAAAACTTTACAAGGAACTCTGTGATCACAACACACATCATCCCTTGTTAACACGCTACAATCATCATGTTCGCACCTGGGGAAAGAGCTGATTATGTCCTGAAACCAAAGCCTGATCAACCACGAATCAGTCTCCACAGACGCGACATGTTTGAACAGGCTGCTTGTAAAATGCGGATAATTAAGAGAATGAGCAGCTGCTCTGCACCTCAAGGACATGCTCACATAAAACATGCAGAAATTAGGCCTAATTAGAATACTAAAACATAAACAACAATCCAGAAAGTGGATATCACTGAAGCCTACCCAGAGGGAAGTATCTAGGGGTTCCAGCATAAATCCTTCCCAGTGAAACCAGTTTCAGATTGAGAGACCTCATCCTGTCTGCCGGACTCATGGCCACACTGTCGCCCAGCTCTGAAAGAAAAAACATTCTGCTAGGTTAGGGATATGAACTGCTTAAAAAAGGATAAAGATTCTGATGTTTTTAATTTACCCTTTTCCAAGATTTCCTGCCACAGTGAGTGGACCAGTATGGGGTCTGAATGTCCTGCACAGTGAATGATGGCCAGCTTGCATTCAGACAGTTTAAAATGGTCAGCAAACTCTCCATATAGCTGTGTGAGGAGAAAGTGAAGCTGGAATCAATTTGCATTCCTAATAAACACTAAAACATATATTTTTTTCATGTCTTTGGTTACCTTTGTAATGTCCATAAGCTCAGAGTCGAGCTGTGAGATGGCGTTTTTCACTGAGGGATGATGGGTGTACTGCCTGATCAGGGTTTCCTGGATCTGGACTTGAATGCGCACCAGCTGGAGGGGAGCGAAAAAGAAGCAACATTATACAAGTGCTCTTTGATTGTTGAGTTAGGATTCCTCTCAGCTGTCAGTGAAGCAGAAGCACCTCCATCTTCTCCTCAAGTTCGTGAAGGAACTCTCCGTCAGCCGCCTGAGCTGAGATGCAGGAGGAGCTCTTTGCAGACAGGATGGCACGAGCTATGTACTCCAACCGCTGCTTCAGCGAGATCTCAGTGCTGAAACATCCAAGGAAAGCAAAAGGCATTTAAAAAGGAAAAGTTGTGTAAAATTTGTATAGAGTGAAAAGCTTCCCCTGTTGTGCTCAGACCTGTGCAAGTCAGCGAGGCGGGCCAACACGTGAGCCGCCTTGCCAAAGCTGCGATTCTTCTCGTAGTAGCGCCACAACAGGTCCATGTTATGAACTTTGCTCTGGTCCTGTTTTATCATATGCATCAGATGCTCTTCCAGATATGGAGAATTCACCTGAGAAAAGAACACAGGACAAAGGTCAAGATGTTAAAAAAACATTTCTTAGTCTTCAAGTCACCTAAATCTGGAGCAAAATGTGGAACAGTTTAGATGCAACAGATTAACATGATAAAATGCAATCTGTTGAATAAGTCTGAACCTAAAAAGAATCCTAAGATCTGGCATTCATACACTTTAAAATATTAATTTAAATGCCTCTTTAGCAAATTAAACTTTGACCGAGTGTTTTGTTTGTTTTGTTTTGTATTTTTTTATCAACAAGCTGCATAACTTAATATTTCATCTGGTTGGTTCTCAGCAGGGCTGAATGATTCTGCCAAAAAAATCTAATTTGCAATTATTTTCATCCATTATTTCTATATCGGCTTTCCCTTACACTAACCAGCAGCATTTAGATGTTTCAAACCAGGGTGTTGGTTTTTTCATGTTCCTGAAAGTTGCTTTTCCAGTCCATAGTTGTTGGACTTTGTTCCCTTTGTGTAAAAAAAAAAGTGATTACTTCTTCCATCATGTATAGCTCTGCATGCTAGCTGTAACGCTTTTCCTTATTTGTAGCGGCACACCCACTTTAATCATATTACGAGCTACCTAAAGGGCTGGAGTAAGAAATTTATTGTATTCTCTTGCTAAATGTAATGTGACCTCTTTTGGTCACATTACATTTAGCAAGAGAATACACTAAATTTCAAATTGCACAGACACTCTTTTGTGTCTGTGCAATTTGAAAACTGGGTTTTGTTAAATTGTGATTTTATTGCAGATGCAATTAATTTCCCAGCCCTCGTTCCTGACCAACATTTTTCAAAGAGATTCGGGGGTTCGAAATCGACACCTTTAAAGTCGTAGGGAAGCCGCTGTTCTAACGGTTGCATTTCAGAATTCTCCCGAGTGGTGCCTAACTTTACACAAGTGAATGTGATTGGTTTTTTATCAAGGGGGCGGGATTGTTGTGGCGGAAGGTTCACAAGCAAGTATGGTTGTAGCCGGTTTGTCGTAAGCATCTTGCTAACCAGTTAGCAACTCAGTGCTAGTAGGTTCCCAATGGGAAATTACATTGGGACCAAGTAGCACTAAATTGGCGACTTGGAAACGTCACTGTCAAGGAACGCTATGGACAGCGGAAACATGCAAGAGGAGGAGAGTTTAATGTCGGAGGTCGTGGATGAGTCTCCTCCATCATACATTTTTCATTTAGAGGAGGAAAGGGGGGGTGTAGTTGTTGTGGAAGAGGACGCGAGGGCGGTAGAAGCTTGGTTTGGTGTAGAAGGCTTACAGCCATACATGTTAGAGTCCTTGCTTCACAACGCTGCCAGTTCTGTAAGCTCTACGCCATAGAACCATTGAGTTCTACGATGGAACTCAATGGTAAAGTAAATAATTCTTATTTCTTATTTTAACCGTTGCGTATTTTAGCTGTGACAAATGAATCAAGATGCTATGACCGAAAACATTTGATTGACAGATGACCGTTTATATATGATTGGCAAAATTTAGGTGTACAAGCTGACGTATAACTAACTGGCCTAAAGACAGAATTTTTTTAAAAATAGATATTTTCTAACTTTTGGGACAATGTGGTCTGATAAAGAGTACATTTATATACATGTTTAAGCCAGAATGATTTGAAATGTAAATATGACTTCCCTACTTCTTCTAGCTTTTTTACAATGCCTATTATTGTCCCACTTCTGTTCAGAAGCAACCAAAGCTCCAGTTTAACTTCAAAAAGCCCAGACCCCCCCCCCCCCAACATCAATGTCTGCATGCAAAATGAGTTTGACACTAAGATTAAGACAGAAATGCCTTCATTGCACCATAAAGCAGGCCTGAGAAGAGTGGAAATGTGGCTAAAACACTGACAAGTTACAAGATGACCTCAAAGTGTTACAATTCATCTACACCTTTAAAAGTTTGCTCAATTTATATACAACCAAACAAACATGATGTTTGTTAGGTATAATGATGCTGCTGTGTGGGATTTTAATCTATGTACAATGTTTTATTTTCCTATGGCTATTTCTTCTTTTTTTCTCCTGGCATTATGACCTTGTCTCCTTTGAATAAGCTTTTAATAGCTTCCTGGGAGTCATGATTCACACATGACTCATAGCATGACCCATGAGAAGATGAGCAAAAGATGTGTGAACAAACTCAACTGAACTGACTTTTATATCAAATATTGAAGCGGGTGTATGTAGTTCTTTTTAAAAAAAACAAATGAACCCAAAACAGAACTATTAAAGTTGCTTTGCAATCATTGAAAATTAGAAAAACATGGTCAAATGAAACTCGAAAAACCCATGAATAATTATATTCCGTTCATAAGTGTACGCCATTTCTAAATGAAAGTGCACAAACATTAACGATTTCTTTAAATAAAAAAATGCTTTGTTAGGGGAAAAAACAACAGATGTATGGACATTGAGTTTTTAAAATAATAAAGATGTTCAAGCATTGAGCTAAACAGATACCATTACAGATGCAGGAACATAATAGTAATACCTCCAGCAGCTTGTCCGTCAGGTCTGCCTGAATCAGCCAGTTGTACAGGGCGATGTGAAACAGCTCATCCTGGGACCTCTGGGCCAACCCCAGCATCTGCTCAAACTACAGGAGAGCGACAGATTTTCATTAGAAATGCAGATCATGTGCATAAGAATGCATGGTAAAGGGCATCAACTTTCCCCTTTTTTACACTCACGTGTGCTGTAGCTTCTTCGTTGCTTAGCATGTTTGGATCTGAGGTCATGACGGGGGGTCCGGGCTGCTTAGGAACGCTGGGCGACTGAGGAGCAGCTTTGCTCTGGTTCACCAGCTCCTGCATGGTGTCTGTGATACACTTATAACAGGAGAGTCTGAAAGATAAGAGGAAATGAGCCGTTTGTGACCACACTCAGCCCAGAGACAGAGGATTGTGGCGTTTCTTTGTTGACGTACCGTTCCTGGAATGCCTGCTGCCCAACTTTGTCCTCTTCTGGTTCTCCATTTTTATAGTAGTGGGGGCCTAACCTCTGTGGATCCTTCTTGTCTGCTGCTGTGAGGCACAACTCAACAACTCCCTCATAGAAACGCACTGAAATGAAAATCAGTATTAAGGAGCAGTAGGATAGAAGCTGAAAATGGGGCAATGCAATCCATGCCTTCACCTTGTCTATACTGGGAGCAAACAAGCGGCAGGTCAGTGTGCTGGCTGATCTGTTGGTAGAGTTGCAGAGACTCCCTCAGCGTCCGCTCCTTCTCCGCTTTGTTCTGGATTTGCTTTGAGCTCTGAAGTAACTCGTTAGCCTAAGAGGGGAAAAAGAAAGGCTCAAAAAGACCACGCTTCATTTCTCCAGTTCTTTACATCAAGACCACGAACCTCTGAGTATTTCACTGCTATTTTATGAGATAGACCAGCACAACACAGTTGCACAGCTGGGAGGTGGGGGTAAAAAAAAGACGCATGGTTTTCAAAATCTGAAGTTCTTAGCTAGAACAGAAAAAGTATGTACGCTTTAGAATGGCCTAGTCAACGCCTCGACCAAATCTAGTTCCAACCCTGAGGTAAAACAAACAGCAGATATTTCTTGAGTGATTTGTTTTTGTTTTTATTGTAGATCTTTATCCTTCCTGTTATTTAACAAAAGATAAAAAAAGTTTGTTGTAAAAATACTGGAAGTACCTTTGAGCAAACGCTGTCATCACTGCTGTACAGTATGGGGCAAAGATCTCGAAGATGATGGCTGATGGCGTCCACTGAGGCGTTATCTTTGATGTAGACATTAATAAGCCCTGTGACTAGAGCCCCAGACAGCTCCTTTCCCCGGGTCACTACATCCTTAAAACTTGCCCCCTTCATCTGCTCTTGAAACTCCTGTGAATAAAAAAAAAGGCAAAAGCACAAATGAAGCTGGAGTTTTTTGGCTCAAAGCAGGGAAATAAACCTTCAGAGACTTCTAACAATCTCGTTGAATTGAGGAAGTAGTTGCACTCTCGAGTACCTTTGGCAGCTCCGACATAATGAGGCTGAAGTGATGATCGCAGAGGAGTTTCCAAAGAGCCAGAGTTTGATAAGAGCGATACACTAGCTGCTGGATACCCTGTAGGGATGCTTTCTCATAGACCTGAGCCTTAGCTGAAGAAAGATATGGAAATTAGTCTTGCATAAGAGAAAAACTACAAAATAAGCCCATTAGTGATCAGTAAGCGACATCGACTTTAAAGTAAATACTTCTTTCCTTTTAGGCCTTTATGTGAGAACATAGAGGAAACTGTTGAAACTCACTGTGATACTTCCTCTGGAGCTCCTGCTGAACCTGCTGGGAGCTGGCTCCGTCAGGGCGCATAAATCCCAGCAGCCTCTGCTGCAGGTTGGCAGGGGAGCTGAAGCTAACAAGTACCAGAACAAAGGACAATCATTTTCAAGTTTACAGAGGGTCTTTCTTTTCTTTACCAAAGGAGACAATCAGAGAGAGACATTGTAAAGAATATAACAGAGTCAAATAAACCGTTTCCAGGGCGATAATATGAAAATTCCAGGTTTAATTTTAAATTTAATATAGCCAGCAAATTTAATATCAAACACTAAAATAAACATAGATATCTCTGACTTATCATTATGCATCTCTTGTTGCTGTAATCGCAACAAAATTAGACATTTCCCCCGGCGCCATTTTACTCTCCAGACTGATGCAAAGGTTTATATTTTCCTTTTTTTGGCGTTTATTCCCTGCACAAGAAAACTATAGCAACCACATGGTTTCATTGTCAGAATTGTCTAATGAGACTGTACAGTCAAAAGGAAAATCAGTGAAAAAAACATCCTGCATGTAAGCTTGCTGCTATTTCTGTGCAGCCACTCTGAATGCTTCGTTTTTACAATCTATGAAATAGGCAGAAATGGTCCCTGCTTTAGTCCATACCATCCAGCTCATCTCAGATGGATTGAGTCCCATTTGAGAAAGCAGATGAGCTGGATGCTGAATGTTGTTACTGATAAGAGAAGATGCTGATGAGCTGGCAACCAGGCTAAAGCAGTTAAGATGAAAAAGGCCTGCAGCTTTACTCCAGTAGAGAAAATTCAGTCTGCAGGCCTTATTATTAAATTCTTTCACATTTTTCATGTCGAATCTCTAAACTTTTTCTGACTCCAGTTGACAGTTTTCCTGTAGTTTTCTATAAATAGTTTAGATGTCTAGCTTTGTCATATTGTCTCTGCGTGTCACAAACAACATTATGCTGCAGCTGGTTGGATCTATAAAGTGTTTTTCTAGACAGACTGGTTCATAATTTCTAACCTACTCCAGCTGGCAGGAAAAAAAAGCAAAATATAGGCACCTTAAGGAATGAGTCTCCAACTCCAAATTCATTTTCTCCTAAATAATCCCTGCATCAATTTAGCTTTGGAAAAGATAAATCAATATAAAAATAAATCACACCTAAAAGGCTTGTTTTAATTTTTTTCTCCAAAATTCTAATTTCTATTTTTTTGGATAAGAGAATTTAGAATAAAGGTTTGGGAAATAAAATAATGGATATCATGATGGATATCAAACTAGACCTAAGAGAACTACTGACGGTGGATGTAGATTTACGGTAAGTTTTGTAGCAGCCAAAAAAAAAAAAACGTTAATTAAATACAAATGGGAAATAGAAACCCTACTTTTTCTGTCATGCTGTACATTATAAATAAAATACTAATAGTTGAGTCATCTGTTTTTCTTCTTTTTGAATCAATTATCAAAATTATTAAAAATCAGATTTAATAAACTAATATTTCAGATTTTTTAAGACTGTGTAGGAACAATAGTTTAAGAGTCACAGATCTTTCCAGACATATTTTGTTTATTTTTTGCATATTTTTCCCAAATAACAGAAAAATGCTTAAATCAAATTCCAGAATTCTTAAGGTTTAAAGCCCATTCTCACTCAGTTACCATGAGTTTGCACTGTGTGAGGCCCAGAGGTTCTTCCAGTAGCCTGCAGAGATCAGGCAATAAAAGCCATTTCTGAAAATATGGGAGGCAGACTAAACACCTTATTCTACACATTTAATAAAGTTTCCCTTATTTGTTTTTGGGAATCTAAATATTTTCACTGATTACACCAAGATCTGTATTTGTTGCTTATTCGCTGCATTGTGTTTAATCTCCATGTTTGGAACAAAATAAAGTTATTATATGTTACCTGTTATTAATCTAATGTGTATTATTGCTGCACACAAATATACTCGTACGTCTTTATCAGCATAGTGAGGTGTTCATAAAATCTAGACCAGCTTTAGTGAAGCGTTTTAAAAAACACAGATATTGTATACATTAAGACTTAAAAAGAATAGTTACTACGTTTGATTCTAAGAGATCAGGTGCCCTTTATTTACCTCATGTACAAAAAAAAAAAAAAAGACCAATAAATAAAGTAGGCTGACAAATATAAACTGAAAGGCAGATGTGTGATGATTCTGTGTCAATAAATAAAGGAGTTAAAGTCAGCAAAAATGCTTTCTGGACCAGAGCGTTGCTCTGATGGGACACTTTCTGGAAGCTTTTCTCAGCTCCCTGTCAAAACTGATTCACAACTGCAGTTTGGACAAAAACCCCGAAAAATGCATAAATATACAAAATATCTCAGTGCAAAAATAAATATTTGCAGATGAAAAAGCTTTTACCTCGCAGCACCAAGAGAAGAAGGGCTGAGCTGAGAGTTTTTATCGAGGAACTCCTGCAAACCTCTGAGCTGCATGAGGACCGACTCCAGCTCCAATGAATCAACGGTGCTTTCCAGCTATGGAGACAACAGATATAAAAAAAAAAAGCACAGTTTGTTTTTGTTTTTTATCATTATGTATTAATGATACAGAACACAATCAAAAGTCATTAATTGTGTGATTCCCTCGGTTATTTCTGTTGGATTACTCTTTCAACAGTACGACTGCAAACAAGCACAGATTTGTTTTTTCCGTGTGTTATATGAAACTTCAAAATAAACGTCTGATTTCACTTCAGGGGTTTTTCTCCTGGTCACCAGGGTAGTTTTCTAAACAATTATTACTTCTCTGCATTTCCACTGCAACTAGCAGAGCAAAAAATACCCCAGAAAAATGACCTTACATGGGAGGGACGCGTTCATCAGAAGTTTTAGAAGAGAAATGGTGGAATTACTTTTTTAAATTGCAGATATCAGTTTAAAACTGTCTGTGTGGAAAGAATAAGTAGGTGATTCTGTCAAAGAGATAATCTAGTATTTATACATTTTATTTCTGTTTTAAAGGAACAATCAATAAATGAAAGCGTTAACTGAGGTATTATCAGTTAAAGTTTTCGGTCTAAATGTGTATTTTGTTCTACTACCTGCTTTTATCTTAATTTTCCTTTTTTCTGCTCTTATTTTTTTCTTCTATTTTATAATTTAATTCATATAAATTACTTTAAATTGTCCTTGAACTGAATTGTGCTATGTGAATAAACGTGATTGTACTTACAATACTAACGGTCTGGTTTCCTTTGCTTATCGATTTCTCAAAAGCAAGACTCCCATCCCAAAGATTGCTGTTAATGTTGAAAGAGACGTAGTTAAAGGGGAAACATCAACAAATATGTTTATACAAATAAAAATAAAGAAATGTTTTTTAACCTTTAGTCCAAAAAATCAAGAAGAATTACCCGAGAATGCGAGCAAAGTAGATGCAGATGCCGTTATGTTTTCCGGAGAAAATCACCTCGGGACCTGCTGACATCGGCGTGATCGGCGCAGAGCCAGTCTGCATCGGTGCAAATGGTGTTGCAAACGCTGGAGGCACCACCCCTGATTTAAGTATTGAAAATCAAGTCAAAATTGAATGTTTTAGCTGGTAAATTGTGCCAACACAGATGAAAAAAAGAAAGGTTAAGTTTAATGGAGGTTTCCAAAACATCTGTACACCAACCCGGCGCTGGAGAGCTCATCACAGGTCCAACTGTGCTAGGTGTTGCCATGGCAGCGGGAAATCTCATCTGTGCCTCTCCTCCATATCTGAACCCAACAGAAAAAAGGAAGGGAGCCCGTTAATTTCCACACAATGCAACCAACCATGAATATGCATGGGTAAAAATGATCCACTGACCTGAAGAACGCTCTTGTGGCCCATTGTGAAACTTCTCTGTCAGAAGCGGCGCTGGAGCAAGCCAGGATGAGAGCTGTAGCACAGGCCTGCTCCTCCTGAATGAAACAGATTAAATGTGCAAATAAAATATATGAGAAAATATGAATAAAAATGTAATGATTGTTTTTTTGTTGACTAATATAGTGCTTAGATTTGTGTCTTAAGCCATTAAATGGATGGAAATTAACTGTACCCTGTGCAGCTTGAAGAAGCGCTCTATCTCCTCACTTTCTCCTCCAGCACAGCTGACCAGCAGGTGGCGCAGCTGGTCAACTGGACGCAGTTTCTGAAAGATGTGGCTACCCTGCAGGCCAGAAAAAAGAGTTTAAAAGCACAAACTTTTAATCCAAGATCAAACCTTAAAGGAATAGTACACCCAAAACATGATTAGCCTTCATTTTCTACTCACCCCCATGCTGAACAACACTCTGGAGTACTTTTTTGATATCTCAAATGCATCTGGAGATCTGGGAGGCTTCTTGCTGTCTGCTGACATTCAAATAATGGAGGTCTATGGCGCCCGAGGCAGAAAGGTCCATAAAAGTCCACAAAAAACGTGTCAATATTCCTCCATACTGCTCGTCCAATGTATTCCAAGTGTCCTGAGTGGGTAGCATCCAGAATTTACTCGAAACGAAGTCATTTAGAACGTTTTTAGAGCATAAACAGTAGTGTATAGGATTTACTGAAAGCGCGCACATGCGCGATCACGACGCTACGGAGGCCGGCAGACCAAACCAGCGCATTCAGCTCGGCAAAGAACTCATGCTCTTCCTCAACACTGAAGTCCTCAGACATTTTTCTTTCATTGTTTCTTTCTTTGCACAGGTAAACAGCACATTTCTTCTTCTACGCTGGCATTATTGGCAGAGCAGACGCTGAATGCGCACTTTCATCTGCTTTGGTCTACCGGCTTCCGTAGCGTCGTGAACGCGCATGTGCGCGCTTTCAAGAAATCCTATACACTACTGTTTATGCTCTAAAAACATTCTAAATAACTTCGTTTCGAGTAAATTCTGGATGCTACCCACTCAGGACACTTGGAATACATTGGACGAGCAGTATGGAGGAATATTGATACTTTTTTTGTGGACTTTTATGGACCCGTCTGTCTCGGGCACCATAGACCTCCATTATTTGAATGTCAGCAGACAGCAAGAAGCCTCCCAGATCTCCAGATGCATTTGAGATATCAAAAAAGTACTCCAGAGTGTTGTTCAGCATGAGGGTGAGTAGAAAATGAAGGCTAATCATGTTTTGGGTGTACTATTCCTTTAACACGATGAGCAGTGGCTGGGTTTTTCACCTTTGCAGAGAGGAGGACGAATTTCTGCGCCGGAATATTGTGTTGCTGGACGACCGCAGGTGAATCTGTGATGGGGATCTGCTCCTTGTTTAGAGGAGTAAAGATCTTGGGGGGCCTCTCATCATCAATGGCACAAAGAGCCCAAGAGTGTCCATCGACATTAGACATCAGCTGAAAAGAATTACACAAGCTATACCAAATTTTCTCCAAGTTGCAGTAGAAGCTTTTTATTTTTACTGCACTAAGACTGATGCAAAACAGAACCTCAGTCTGATGCTTCTGCCACAAACCTTGACAGATGAATCAGTGTTCTGTACGACTGAAAGCCTCACTTAATTTTTCAAAACAACCCTTTTTGTCATATGTAGCTGCACCTTTTTTCTTCCTTGTACAAACATCCAAACTAGGAACCAGTTCAATATCCAAAGAAGGCAATCATCCTAAAAATCAGTTCTGGGATGGTCCTAACTTCAATGAATGTCCACAGTATGTTTAAAAATACACTAAGTAATGTGTATGTATGCATTTGCAGCTGTACAACTTTTCTGGGAGGAAAAAAAACTTAAATGAATCACAAGAATCCAAAAATCTCATAGCATAAAAATGATAGTGCATAAACTTCTGAAAGGTGATGTATCGAAAAACACACAACAGCGGCCTCCTAGTTTAGATATTCTGGTTTCTAATTGTTTGCTAATTTCCAACCTGTGTCTCCATCAGGGGTTTCTTGAAGGGGAAAGAGTCATGATTGATGCACCACAGGATGTCACTGTCTTCCGTCTCTGAGGCAGCCATGAGCAGAACCCCTGCAGCATTAAAAAATGTCACAAAGACAGATTAGTTTATATCGCGACTGGAAAGGGGGGTCAGACAACTAAACATAACAGAGTTTGGGAACACAGTTTGACCTCTAACCTTTGCTATGCAGAGCCTTGTGAACCTTAGAAGGCTTCTGTAAAGTGGAGGAGGCAGAGAAACCCGGCGGCAGCCGCACATGGACCAAAGCAAGCAGGGTTGGGCGTACAGGAACGTGCTTCTGGTGCTGAGGAGCAAAAGGTGTGGTGGCGAAGTAAAGGCGCACACCTGAAATAATCAAGAGCAAAATTAGACAATAATCCTGCCATCATGGCCTCCATTTCCTATAAACCTTAAAGCGTATTTGGGAAAAAATTAATAAAATAAAAACGTGTCTCCTTGGGATCTATGTTGAAATATTTACCTGCATGAGTAACAGCAAGCAGGTGGCAATCTGAGGATTCGGATCTGTCAATGACTGAGATCTGGACAATGGGTTTGAAGACGGAACGATCAATGGTCCTAAAAAAGAAAAGTTTTACCGAAAAGTAGAGCATAAGTAAGAAAAGTGATTCACACATTGAACGTGAACAGGTAAATCTTTAACATACGGAAGAGGATTAGGGCCACTGGGAAAAAAAAAAAAGTTAACTGATTTTTAACTGACTTTTTTTCTCAGAATTCTGACTTTAATCTCAAAATTCAGAATTTTTTATTGCCAGAATTCTGAGAAAAAAGTCCGAATTCTGAGATTAAGGTCAGAATTCTGAAAAAAAAAGGTTAGAATTCTGACTTTTTTCCCCATACTATACTGAAATAAAATTCAAAAATCAGTTACGTTTTTTTTTCCCAGTGGCTAATCCAGTGGCCTAATCCTCTTCCGTATTAAAAAACAGAAGATCACAAAGTAACATCTTTTTATTAAGTTGTCAACTATTACATCTTTAAATTGATTAATTAAACATGAAGTTGAATTGTTAAAGCCTTTATCTCTTCTTATTTTAATTATCATGGCTATAGATAATTAAAATAGATGTCCAATTGTACTGCATATTGTTATAAGCATTGAAAAGATTAACTGTGCACAGTTCATAGAGATAATTAATAGCCTAAACATCAATAAAATGAGAATACAGTAGTTTAAAGGACTGAATCTCTATGTGGGCTGTAGGGGCATTTATGAGTCTCATCTGATATGATTGACAAACAGTATTGAACCTTTGGATATTCTAAAGTGATGTTCATCTTATTACATACCGAGCAATGTTTCCTGCAGCCGCTACAATGGAGCTCTGGGACATTGTTGCAACACGACTCATTCCTTGGCCATCGGCCCCGAGGTCGTACACCTAAAAGACGGGGTTAACATTTTAGCTCAATGTAGGATTTTATGTGTCTGAAGGCTCTGATAGATATGAATAAATCAGAGTAATAATACCCATTAGAGAACGACTAGACATGTTTTTAAGGCCAATGCCGAAACCAGAGAAAACTATTTTTAACTGACGTATGCATCAGGCTGATGCTGAAGAAAAAAAAAAAAATGGGAAAAACAGCTAATATTGTCTTATTTCTAATAACAATTAAGAGTAAAGTTCCTTTTTTCTTTTTCCAAGGCGGAAAATAAATATTTTACAGATTAAAATAAATCTGCCAACATGGGCAAACCAAACAGCATAACCAGAGACCATACAGGATATGGATGCTAGGAGCTAAAAAAAATAAAAACTAGGGTGATTGGAACTCATCACCAAAGATGAGTCGTCAGAATACAACGGGGGAAAAAACCACCAAAAAATTATTTCTCAATAATGTTAAAATCCTGTTTTTAAAGTATGCCTCTTTTACTAGACATTTGCTTTATTTTCTATTAGAAAAAATCCTAAGTTAAATAAAAAAACAATTCTACATCTAAATCTGTGACATCAATAATTCTGGCCTCAACCATGAATGCTTTAAATCCGCATACAGCAGATGCTTCAGCATCAAAATTAGATCAGAGATGGAGTAAGAAGAGCATAAAACTTCAGGAAAATCTATAGTAAACTCAAATGTTCTTTTTCAAAATAACTAATCATTTTTTATGTAATCATTTCACCCCTGAAACCAAAACATTTTAAATACAGTAGCAGTCATTCAAAATGGCCTTCCAGTCAAACGGCAGCCAACTTCCAGCCACTGGATTGACCCCCTTCTTCTGGGGGGTGCATATTTTTTTTACTGTGACTCCATCCTTTCACTGAATTACAGGGCCTGACCAGGAGATGGCGCATCTCTTTAGATCTTAATGTCCACAAACCATGATAAAATATTTTAGTACAAAGATTGATGTTTAAAAAAGGAATCTTAGGGGACCAGCCAGGGGAGCATAAAGGAAAGTGGGAAATTTTTGAATGTCTACTACTGTAGTAAAAGGCCTGTAATCAAGTCAAATGATCCAAAGAGCTTTCAGTCAGTCATTCACACACTGATTGTGAGCTGATGAAGCCAAAAGCTGCCCTGGAACTCCCTAACAGAAGATCACCATCAGTGCCAAAGGATACAACAAAAGAGAAAGGTTAAACGGAGGTTCAAACCAGCGAAGAAGAAACAGCAATACCTGCAGGACATCTTTCTCAGAGCGAGTAAACAGTGTGTTGCGAGAGTTGTCAATTGCAATCTGTACAATGGGATCTGTGGAAAACATGAGGGGGGAGAAAAAGGTCAACGACAAAAATGTGCAGCTCATTTTACTTTACAAGGAAATGTGTCCCTTCCCCTCACCATCTTCAGAAAAAGAGAACTGGAGCACAGACGGGATAAGGAAGGACAAAGAGCTCTTAGAATGGTTAATTTTCCTGCAGCGTTGGCTGAGCCAGCCCGCCTCCGCCTGGTAAGCTATCTCATACAGGCAGCCATCTTTCCCTGCCATGAAGATGCGTCCCAGGTCTGTAGACGTGATGGACAGGATGTAGGTGTTGTCTGTTGGGATTGAGAAGAGGGGGTCTGGGAGCAGCTGCATCCCACCAGACATGCTATCATTTAATCCTGCAAAAAGATATTTAACACGTTACCTTGATTTGATTTAATGTGGTTTGACCATATCTTAACAGAGAGAGGCCCAAACACCTAGGTTATGGTGGCATTTTGAGTTTTAGATATTTATAAACCTCAAAGACTAGATTTAAACTGCAATACGGACAATAAAAACAACTTTGTTAGCAAAAAGTCATTTGAAAATCAAACAAACCACAAAGACCCTGTTAAGAGGCCAGACTTACCAGCTTGGCTCTTCGGAAAGCTGAGTCCAAGGATTACTACATCCACAGAAGTGGCTAATACCAGGAGGTAGTGGATGTGTGGCTGTAAAATACCTGAGAAGAAAATTATAAGATCTCAGGGCTGTTTTAAGAATGAAAATGCATGCAAAATCATTTTCTAAACACACCTTGTTTTGGTTTAACAAGACCCACAGCCAGAATTGTTTCAATCAGGCCGTCAAAGTAGGCCACGTCTCCCCTGCAAATAAAGCAAAAGACAGCCGTTATAAAAATGCTCTGATTAAATTGCTAAACACTAATAATACATTGTAAAGGCTTTAAAAAGAATTTCAAATGGCTGCATTTAATAATACCAACCCATCTTCATAATTCCACATAAAGATGTCATTGTCGATTGTTAGCCACGCTCGAGAGATCTCCGGGAAAACTCCCATCATGCAGTTAAACTGCATATCTACATCATAGTTAAGCTGAAAATCAAAGCACTTGGAGAAAATGTTTCCTTTAATCTGAGGAAAGAAGTGAGAATCTGAAATGCCCCGAAAATCTGTTTCTAAAGGACTGAAAGGATACGGCTAAACTGCTCCACCAGCTCCGGCGGCAACGGGACTCTTCGAACTGCGCTGAGTTCTGGTAGGTTTGGTATGCTGAGTAAACCGGGTCCCTGGAGAGGGTAGTCCATGTCAGCAACTCCAGACAGGGATGGCATGTCTGTTAATAAGAAGGATGAATATCAAGAAATAAGCCCATATGTGCTTCAAGTTAGATATTTCTACCTAATAATAAATAGAGCTGCACATTGCATCAAGCTGCAATCATTAGCGTAACATCTTATGTCCAGCATCACAATCTCAGTCATTGGAATATAATAATAATAATAACTGGTTATATTTTATCCTGTGAGATCCATATTTAATTAGAAAAGCAACGCTACTGTTTGTGGGTGCATCTTCCTTATATTTCAATTGAAAAATAAGACAAAAAGCTCTAAAGTTTCACTACAGCCTTCAAATTTAATATTCCAACATATGTAATGTGGTGTTGCTTTTGCTGTAGTATTTTTAATGACGAGCTGAGTCCTTATCCTCGAGGAAAAGTCCTTAAAATGTTCTAAGTTTTCCCTCCTAGTCCAACCAACCACAATAAAATAGTTGACATCTCTCCTTAGTCTATGGCTGTGTTCGAATTCGGCGGCTGCGGCCCCCGAAGGACCCGGCTGACCTGGACTGGGTCCTTCAAAGGCAGTGAAAATAGGGAGGCCAGAAGAGTTGGGCTGTAGATTCAAACAGGTCTAGACCTTTCTGTCTGTCACCGTCAATATACGCTCTGTCGTCTAGCAACAGTGACGGTTGACTCACAAAGCAGGCAAAGAATGGATGCCGAGCTTCTCACTACCATTCTGTGTGCTACTTTTTGAGGATTATCAGCAGCAATACATAGTTTATGGTGCCCACACTGCAGAGATACTGGATCTGTGCATAAATGTTAGCCAAACCTTTTTAGCACAGATAAAACCTTTCAATAAACCAAACATTACCCATCACATATCTGACTCAATAACCATTTAAAACGCAATTAATTTACATACTTTTAATATATTAAACTGCACTTACAACATTCACCACTGTTCCTCAATTCCCTTTTTCCTCTATGCATAGACTTGTAATGAATCATGGAACACCCAAGGCTACAGAGGTAACAACAGACCTGCCCTTCCAATCAGGGAAAAGAAAGCTGCATTTGTGGAGCGCACATTTCATTGAATATGAATAAGCTACGACGCTGCGCTAGGGGTGCTCCGATTGACTGGCCGATGCTTAGGCTACGTTCACACAGCAGCCTGAAGGGAACCAAATCTGATTTTTTTGCCCATATGAAACCTGGATCTGATCTTTTCATGGCAGTCTGAACAACACAGATCCGATTTTTTCCAATCTGACTACTTGGCTATGTGTACCTGAATCAGATACGAATCTGATCTTTTCAAATGCGACCTGTGTCTGAACGACCAGGTCGCATTCATCCGACCTGAACGTCATTAATACCCAACAAAGGTCACTATTATGCATCTTGCTACGCAGAAGTGGCAAGAAAAACAACAACCATGGCAGATGATGATGCGGAGAGCAGTATTTATGTTTAGCGCCGGCACTAACGTCCATGTTTACTTCCGGAAAAGAAGAGCACGCTGGCCTGTGACGTCATCGCGTCCTCTACTGCGCATGCGGGACACTTGCGTTGTATGACTGCAGTTCACACAGGAGCTCACATACAAGTCGCATATATTTGGAAATGTGAACAGCAACTCAAAAAAATAAATAAAAATCGGATTTCGCAAAAAAAATCGGAATTGAGCATCAAGGCCTGCAGTGTGAACATAGCCTAAGATTTGAAACCAATCTTTTCCACAGATAGTATCTATCCTAGCAAACGTCTGAAAATCAATGCTCTAAACTTTGATTTATATTTGAGAGCAGTAATTTCAGAAGTTTTATTGCTTCAGAGGTACTGATTAAGGGCTTTCAGTAAGATCAGATTGGAATATTTAAGGGATTTTTGGGATCTTATAACAATGGACAGGGAATCTGTTATTGGCCATAAACCTGCAATCGGTGCACCCCTAGTTTCCACATTAACCCTGTAATGCCAAATGTATTTGATACATACGATTTCTAAAATGTTTTGATCTGACACCTTTTGCATAATTTAATGGTAAAAACTTTGCTCAAAATCCTATTGTACACAATCAGATATACCTGATAACAGAGGGCAGAAGACTAGACAAAAAATTATCTTGACTTATAACATAGTAATAAATTATTAATATCAAAAAATTATTTCTGTTTTTTCTTTTAACATATTTTGTTAAAAGGCCAAATAAGGACTTCAAACCAAAAAAAAATAATTTTCTATTTTGTTTTATTCTTGGATCGGGCTTTAAAGGGTAAAAGAAAAATATGACAGAGGGATTCATTTAAATTGGTGTTGCTGGGATTTTCTAAATTATACATATTGATAATAGACTGGCCTTTATAATTAAAAATGGCTTATAGCTGTCATTATAAAACTATCTACATTTCACTAAATGTTAAGACATCTCACGTGGCTGCTGAGTTGGATAAATGAAATAAAATAAAGAATTCACCTTTTCTAGGACGCTTTCGCTTATTATATAAGGTTATGCAGGAAGATGCAATGCAAGCTGCTTGAAAACAGACATCTTAACTGATACACACAGTAGGGAGGTCAGCAAGCAAATTATTTCAGTACAGCTATTTTGTATAGAGGTAATTCATGTACTGGTTTCCTACAGCATAAGGCAAGTGAAATTCAAGACTTGTTAAAACATTTTAATGCCACTTAAAATAAAAATTCAAGACCAACTTTACAATAAACACAAGAAAAACCTGGTAGCGACAATTCTTCTCCAAATGTTTATTTTAACATAAACCATTAGTTTTCCGCCTAGTAGATGTGTTTTAAATTTTGAAAAACTTTCAATATAGGAAGAAAGCTAAAAACACACAAATAACAGTGCAGTGTTGCGCCCTTGCCATTTATTGGTGCCGATAACGATACCTGGCCGTGCAGTATTGTCCGATACCATCTGTTTGAAATTTGATGTGTGTGTATATCTGAAGAACTGCATACTATTTGGATGTAAAATAATTGCCATCATGGCTTTGTCAAGCTGCTGCCTACCTTTGTGAAGCAGGAAAAAGACTAATACAAAGTAAATCCAGTAGAACGTTTTATTGCCTACCTGGAATGGGTGACAATAGTTGAATAAACTTTTGGCTCTCAAAACGGTATTGGTGCTCTATTTGCTGGTACTTGCAAATACCGATACCACCTTTTTAGTACTGGATCGGGGCCCCACCCAATACTGGTATCGGTGCTCTATTTGCTGGTACTTGCAATACCGATATTTTACTGTTTGATATGGCTTACAAAAATAAAATCCTATTTATGATGTGGTAACAATTTTAAGACTTATGAAAGACTGATTTAAGACATTTCTATATCAATTAAGGCCTTGATTTTATATTGAAGAATTCAATGCCTTTTAAGACGTTTTAAGGATCTGCAGGAACCCTGCATGTAGAAATGTGTCAGCTCACTATATATTTTATTTTAATGCCCCAACTCCTATTTCTGCTGCAATTTGATGTTAGAGATGAAATGAGATGAGTGATCGCCTGGATCAGACTTACTGTGTGAAGGGACGCCGAGCAGCTCGGACAGGTCGGGGAAGCAGCGGTCATCCTGCAGGTGTCTGTCTATCAACCGAGCAGAGTTATCCAGCGCCTCGGCGAGCGCAGCTGCGGGGCTGCTGACTCCAGCGACGGACGGCATAGCTGGAAAATAAAACACCGCTGACTTACCTGACACTAAACACACATGACCGTGTAAATACAACTTTATTCAGAGGGTGAAATTTGGATAGGAGCTTGATATAAAGCCGGTTAGCTGCTACAGTTAAAATAGTAACATTTAGCATGCAAGCTAACACTTAGCTTAAAGTTAAATTAAGTGAGATTTGTAAATAAATTGGTTAGTTTACCAAGCTGCAAATGCTCCGGGCGGACCTGAACGTGATAACTGAGACGTTTTGTTGGATCTATTATGCTGCAGATTTAAACAAAAACATCCAACACACACAGCAGTAACTAACAACCCGCCAACCTCATGCGCGGAAGCTGTCTTCTTTGCTTTCTCTATGGGTTGTTGCTTGACACCAAGAAATGGCAGTAGTGCTGCCCCCTATTGATGTGGTTGACTAAATGGTTGTTCTTCTTTGTTAGATTGGCGGATTGCAAACAATTGTAGGTGCATGTACAGTAGGTGCATACCGCCACCTACTGTACATGAGTGTGTAGCTCTATGGTTCCGCCTACTATATTCTATTTTTTATTTTTGTGTTATGTAAAAATAAAAACAGCGCTTTATTAATAACCCAATTCCCCCCCCTATCTCCATCGGTCCCTAAATTTCCTTTAATACTCCATTCTCTCCTTTTTCCATAATTACTTTCCTCATCCTCTCTCTTTCAGTTGCATATTTAATGCAATCCATCAAAACATGTACCACATCGTTCCAAAAGATAAGAACTTTGTTTGGTAGAAAAATATTAAATATTTTTATGGAAAAAAAATGGAATGAGACAAAAAAATTTTCTAACTCTGTTTGTCCTAATCTACTTTGTAGAAATAATGACTTATTTCTAATCAGTGCTTATAGGTACAATATTTTTATATTTTTGCAGACACTTCAACAATGTTTAAAAAGTATTTTAAAGGAAGTTTTGCTTTAACTCAGTAAAAAAAAAAACATGTGCCTTAAACTAACAAAAAACAGGTAGATAGTAATAAAAATAAATGTAGTTATAGAAGTTGCTTCAGTCATTTTATTCATTTTGTGAAATGTCATCCAAGACATATAGTAGTGGAATAATGATGTTTTATTGTAGATAAAGTAGTGTATATTTTATTTTGGTACTACGTCCCTTAAAACATTAACAAAACAAAAAATAGAAATTTATAAGTTTTTTAACAATTCAAAATGGCATTTTAGAACTAGAAGGGTGATGAAACACCTGGTCTAACATAGATGACTTACTGAAGGCAGATACTGTAAAGATGTCAATGGGAACTGTGCCATGAAAATAAAAAAATCATCTATACAGTATATAATCCTAGAAGTATAATCTCATGTTGGAAAATATGAAAAATTCAAGCTTTGTTAGAATACAGATTTTATTTTTATAGCTAATTCCAAATGGGACAGGGAGAAAAACATGTCGTTCAACTACACTGACATGTTAAACTAATCCAGTAAGCAGCTAAATGTCAAAATGACAATTTATGTTATCAGAAAAATAATTACTGAGAAAACTACAGCAAGTGTGACTAAACAGCACCAACCATTAAAAGTCTGAATATGTGCAGAAGCACCTCACGCTCACTGTTAGGCAATAGTAAAGGGTCTGTGATGCTGTGGGACAATTTCTCCTCCCAAGACGCAGAGAATCTCATTAAAGAGAATCACATTCCAAACCTCTAAATGTCATATTCTAACTACAAATGCTGCGTTTGTGCAAGAAAGGTTTTAAAAATGTGTCATTGGTTTGGTTTTTGGGGTTAATGATCAAAAACGTGGTTAAATCAGCACAGAAACGCAGCACTTTCTTGGAACATCTTAAACTTTCAAACAGCTAGATCTTATTCTGTTTTCTTAGTTTTTTTTTCTAGTGTCATTACCATGTAATTAATGGTCAAATATATCCTATGATTTCAAGATTTTTATGATATCCTATGATATCCACAATTTTTTTTCTTTTTTACCTCAGTTACTGTCACAATTGACAATTTTTGGGGAATAAAGGCAAGATAATTGTTGACAAATTGATCAGAATAAGAGGGATTTTTTATTTATCTTTATCTCCCATTTAATAGGGGGATAGCTTCTATTATCTACTATTCCAAATCGGAAAGAGAGCATGTATTTGAAGTAAGCTGGATATATTTCCTGTAATAGTTTAGGCGAGTGTGGACCTAGGTGGATTTGCCCACCAAGCATACAAGATGATAAAAAAGGTAACTCTAATTAAAAACCATTAAAGAGCTGCAGGAAATCTTCATTAATTCTGAAGATCAATGTGACAGTAAAAGCTTTTTACATGTCCTTAACCATAAAGCTAAAAGGCTGGATTTTAAAAATGAAAAATTGTCGGTTTTAAAATCCATCTTTAAAGAAGTCTTACCATATAAACACCAGAAGATCGGTAGTTTAATCAAGCACAGATGAGAAGAGTCTTGGGATAAAAAAGGTTAAGTTTTTTTATGGAAAAATGAACGCAAGAATTTAAGAAAGAAATAAGAAAAGTTTATTGCAGTAGAAGCTCCACCAGAGGAGCGGTGGATAACTTTATTGTTTCCCTGTGCTAATTCACACTGAACCTACTGAATATTAAAACACTATTAGCACAGATACTGCACCGCTTTCCTCATAAATAGTTCATGTCAGAGAGAGTCTATAACACAGATGGAGCTAAACAGCAATTTCTTTATAACAAGACATTAAAATTTGCTGGACATCAAGTAAATAAATTCCTCTGGATCTAGTTATAATTCCAAAAAAAACACTTTATTAAGAACATCATCAATACACTAACTTCCAACATTCAGTTTGTTTTTTTGTTTGTTTGTTTTTTTATACAGAATTATGTTCAGATATAAACAGGTTGTTTTTTTTTTTACTTAAACTATGATACAGCGGGAGTAAAAATCAAACATCCAGGTTGCTGCACAACAGCGAAGGGACTCCCACACAATGTTTTCACAAACATTTTCTTCTTCCATTTTTTTCTTGTGTTAACTTAAACATCGGTATTTAAAAAAAAAGAAAAAAAAAAAAGATTTCCTCCACCAAAGCTTTAAATCTAAACAGGTGAACGTTCTCTGGGTGGGTAACATAGCAGATCCATGGATTATAGCTGGGAGGGACACTCGGAGGAATTCCTGTTATTAACTCTTTGTCCCGTCCCTGGACGCGTAGAGCGCTCGTAAAGTCTGTGCCACTTTGTTCGTGAGCTTCTGTCCGCTTGTCAAGGAGATTTTCTTGTAAATAATGTCCGACTCCTTGATGTTGTCGACCCAAGGCACCTTTTTGCGACCGTCCCGTTTCTTTGCCACGGCCCAAGGTCCAGAGTAAGATCCCGTCATCCAGTGTATGCTGTAGCCGCTCCTGTTCTTTTGGATGATCTTGGCGATCTGCGGTCGGTCTTTGTATTTGGGCCGACAGATGGCGACTATGTCCATTACCTCCACCACCTGACCCGCGTCCTCAGCAGAATCCACATCTTTTCTTGGTTTTCGCTGCGAATTTAAAAAGAAAACAATTAATTGCGTCCTTTTGATGCCTCATCCCTGTTATAGATTAGAGTGAACCCACGCTATAACGCGGTTCACTTTTCACGGTCTCGCTGCTTCACGGATTTGCATCATGCACTGTGTTCTGCATTCTGATTGGCTAAACAGACTCTTCGCGCCTTCTCCCAAATGTGTGTCAATAACGTTATGGTTTAATACGTACAGTACTGTACGTGTACGTAAAACCACTTGCCAAATTGAAGTTTGCTAATTATCTTGCAATTTCAAGTTTCTCTAAAAACCATAATGTCGACGAAACGTTCTGCACCGACAAAGGCACTTGCGGTCGGGCCCAAAAGGCATAGAAAGATGCTAACTATCGCAGAAAAAGTTTAACTTCTGGACTTCATTAATGAATTAATGAACACTTGGTCGCTTAGCAACAATGCTGAGAATGGCCACTGAACTTCAGCGTGCAGCTCAAGAATGTGACCCTTTGATGAGCCGTTCATTACAGTTCTCAAACATAACCGATGGTGGCATGTCGCTTTATAAGGATCTTTTGGCCCAGAAGAAAAAAGAGCGACAACAACTACCGATAACTATGTTCTTCTCTCAAAAAAACACAGCTGCACCGCAGGCTTTAGAAGAAAAAAACGCCACAGAGCAGAGTCAGGATGCAGCGGCTCCGTCAGAACAGCAGTGAAATGCTGCACTGTACAAGTGAGTCACTATTTGTCCTACTGTATTTTGTATTTTTTTTTCATAATCATTTTCATTTTCTCCCGTTCCAATCCGTCACGGTAGGGCGGTACTGATCTCCGCAATAAACCTTCAGTTCGTATTGATGATTAAAATTATTATTTATTTATTTATAACTATATTTTTTTTTACAGTACACGAAAAAAAACAACTACAACAAACGTTTATACAGTACTTTTATTTGTTAAACAAATGCTTGGGCCTGTAAAAAGTTTTTGTTCCTTGATTTCAATGTTTTATGGAGTATTTAATTGTATAATAACTAAAAAAATTAAGGTTTCAACTTCACGAATTTCGCCTATTGCGGGTTCTGTTTGGAACGTAACCCCCACGCTAAATGTAATTCACTGTAATTCTTATGGCTCTTCTTAGTTTCAAGAGTCCCATGATCCTGTAATCTAATTGGTCTCTATGATCAGGTCTTGGAGATTGTTTTTTTTATAAGTTATATAAAGCTAATCAAAACAAGCTAATCATGCTTGTTAAATCAAGAAGAAACTGTGACTAATGCTCTTTTTCTCAAAATGTAATTTAATTCCTCTTGCCATACAGTATCCTGTTTGTCAACATGAGGCAAGGGAAAATATTTCATAAAAAGCAACATATCATACCCCGAGCTAAAGAGATTTAAAAACAAGAAAAGCAGAATCAGTGAACTCCTTCAGGCCTCAATGCTTAATCAAACCATTTCTCAGACTTTTGAGCCCCAGCTAACCACACAGATGGATACATTTACTCCAAAAGTGCAGCAAGTAATCCAGTAGTGGGACATAAAAGATGTAGAGAGCTGCAAAACAGAGCAGCTCCAATAAAGATCGATGTTCATGACTGAACAATAGGAGCCCTGGGAAACATGGTGGTGTCTACGGGTAAATCCTGAATGTCTAGCCATCAGTCTGTGACCTTTAGCTCAGCAGCACTGGGATAGTACATCAGAACCAAAAACTGACCCAAACTAGGCTTGAAGCCTAGTTAAAGTCTGGACATATCTGACTGAGCTACTGATCAGATTGTTATGACTGAACTAGCTCCAGTTTAGCTCTAGAGCTGGTTTAATTGAAAATTTGCTTTTTTTTTTTTTTTTCCATACTG